GCTTCCTCTTTTTTTTTTTTTTTTTTTTTTTCTTCCTTTCAGGTTATATGCTCTCTCCATCGTTGCAATTATAGCGGATGGTCATAGTCATCGGAAATTCAGATTGTAGCTTTCACACTCCAGCAAGTCGCACCGATGCGACACAAGTCACACACGTGAGACAAAGTGACAAAGCGTTCGCATACCGTATGGCCCGATGGACACTCAGTGAGAGCTTCTTTCTTTCTTTCGTTCTTTTTTTTTTTTTTTTTTTTTTTTTTTTTTTTTTGGAGAAGCCTCCCTCCACCCTGTGAGCTTCCTCCTTTCTTGAAGCTTTCGATTTCTCCAAGTTCTTTCGCTACCCACCTCCAGTAGTTTTATTCCCACATGGATTAAAAAAAAAAAAAAGACGTTATCCTTTTTCTTCTTTTTTTTCTTTTTTTAAATCAGACCCTATCCTGCACAAAATGCATGGACTGTATCTGTCGGACGGCAGCATTTTGTGCAGGATAGGGTCTGATTTCGAAAAAGAAAAAAAAGAAAAAAAAGAAAAAAAAGAAAAAAAAGAAAAAAAAGAAAAAAAAGAAAAAAAAGAAAAAAAAAGGATAACGTCTTTTTTTTTTTATTTTTAAATCCATGTGAGAATTGAACTACTGGAGGTGGGTAGCGGTTTTAGGAAGGGATTATATCGATGATAGAGTCTTGGAAAAGAAGAAGAAGAGAAAAAAAAAAAAGGATAGCGTTTTTAACTGTGAGCGAGCAAGCCGTCACGTCGGAGTTCACGGCAAGACTGTCTATCTTCGATTTCTTTAAAAAAAAATAAAAAATTTCCCCTCTTATCTCCGATTTCACACAAGTTCAAAAAAAAAAAAAAAAAAAAAAAGAAAGAAAAAGAAAGAAAAAGAAAAAAGGTTGTGCCCGCTCTCCAGCTTCAATTTCACGCCCTCGTCTTCTTGTTCTCTTGTTGAGTCTTGTTCCCTTTTTGTTGATTTTTTCCTTTTGTCGTCATCACCTTATCGTCACGAGTTTTTTTGTTTTTTTTCCACCTTTCTTTTTTTTCCTTTTTCTTACAGTATTTATTCATTTTTTATGTGGTCCGATGGACCATGGATTAGATAAAAGTATTAAACTGATCAGAACAGATACATTGCACCTGATCTTACTTAGCCAAAAGGCCGAGAAAGGTTTAACTTTTTTCCCCTTCTCCTTTTTTCTTCCTTTTTCCTTTTTTCTTCCTTTTTCCTTTTTTCTTCCTCTTCCTTTTTTTTTTTCCTTCCTTTTTCCCTTTTTCTTTTCCTTTTCCTTTTTAAAAAAGTCGGCCTTGAGATATTACAGTATCTGGGAACACTGACCTGCCGGAGGGTAATTCAAGATTTTTCATTCATCTTCATTGTTTTCTATCTGGATTCGAATGAACTCAGCCATGTATTTTATTATTATTATTATTATTATTATTATTTATTTATTTTTCCAACACTTCGTCATGATGGGTGGGGCAACTGAGCTAGGCTCGGTGGTCTCCCTCTCGACTTTCATGTCGTACATATTGGCGTGCGATCATCATCCCCATCATAAATAAAAAAAATAATAACGTCCTTTTTTTTTTTTTCATGCTGAACAGTTTACCCAAGGGACGCTGGGCCCGGTTCCCAGCACGTGTCGCTCCCCACGAATGGATTGGAGCAATTATAATTAAGAACAAAAAAATAAATAAATTATTTATGTGATCCATCTCTTTGTCGTCGTCATTATCATGATGATCATTGTTGTCGCTTCTCTGGTATTACTTTATGTGCACGACATCAAAAAAAAAAAAAGAACTACAAGCCGGGCCGCCCGGGTCACCTTGTTTGCCCGGTGAACGGTAAGTAGAAAAAGGACAAGAAATGGGAAAACGGCTGTGACAGAGGATTAAAGGGG